CTCACAGAAGGCAAAGTCAGACATAGGATCTGGAAGCAGTGCGCCAATCATGTATAAAAAGGATCACGCACCATCATAGTAGTGACGTATATCCCGATGCGATTGGTCGGTTGGCCGGAATTTGGACGTGCAAAATTTACATAGTGTCAGATTTCCGATTGTAGCATTTCGTTTGTATTTATAAATTATTATCAAACATTGACTAATTAAGCTTAAAAAATTCGTCTCGCAAAGTACAGTCAAACTGTGCAATTAGTTTTTGATTTCATCTACATTGAGTACTTTATGCATGTATCGTAAGTTTAATATAGAGAATCTTCTTTTTGCATAGCGTATTTTTCAGAAATTTAAAGTAACTAAACAAGGCCTGATATAGAAAACGGCAGCCCGACTAGCCCCTGCGTTCCAGCAGGTGATGAATACTCCCAGGCTCATCAAAGTGACGTATCCTGAATCCAGATGCAACGTATCCTGTATCCTGCTGATGCAATCGCTGTCTCATATCTTGACGCGGAAATCCGGTGATGAATGGGGTGGGTGGGAATTTGGGATCCAATAACTTGTGGTCGCTGCTAAGGACACAGTAATGACGCAGTGAAAATTTTGAATACGAAGACTAGACTTCTAATGCCACACAATGCATGGGTGATTCTGAATAATGTAGGCAAATTCTTTTTTCCAGCCTTTTGGCACTTTCCTGCTAGTATATTTCAGTTGGATTAGTCGTCCGTGGTAACCTACCAGTAACTTCCTCTCCAGATAGAGTAACTTATCATGACCCAGAGTCATTCAGAGCCTGTCTCCGACAAAACCGAATTCTTCGGTTTGATACGTGATACCTACAACTACATAATTAAAAGCCAGTCGCTATAGCCTCCTCTTGTACTTCACTTATTTTATAGTAGCTATATACATATTTATTTGCTTTCTTTCCTCAGTTGCCTTGCTAGCTTTGTCTAGCTTTTCGTATAGCTTGTAAGTATATGTTTTTATTTTCGCTGCAAACTCCTGCCCTGTCCATACACGCTTGGAAGATTTCCTTTAGGAAGAAAAAACATATACGGCAGTACTAATATTTTCTATCTCTCACTTTCTACACTGTCCCCCTCACTCCTCTTCCCCGTCGTTAGGTCTATCATCTCTTGCTCTCTCCCACATAGATCCACTGCAGGAGTTTAGAGCTCATAAGGAAAATGGACTCTTGACCCATTTAGTTTGTATTTTGGTGTTTGATGAACAACAAGACTAAATTAGACTAACGGATTTATAAGTGTTTGTTTTGTAGTTCAATAGGTGTGCAAACGTGACTTAAACAAAGGCAACGGTGATCGAAATGATCAACACCCCAAGCAAGACATTAGAAGCCATGTTGTAGACCTGCAAGACATGATAGAAGTCTAAGTCACTAAGAAGTAGAATCATGGACACAAATACACAAACAATGTTGAAGCCACTGAAGCCGAGACAAAGAGATGGATGAATTGGAATTGTCTCATGATTTTGAATCTGCTCAAATTTACATGACTTCAGTTCAAAGTTGTAGAGCTTTTCATTAGCTTTTTAAAATATCTAAGATCATCAAAATTAAAGTTCAGAGCTAAAAGTTATGCACAAAATACGAACCCGACATGCTGAAAAATGAGCAGAGGACCGTCCGATGCAATTAGTCCCATGCTCACATCTTTTGTCCGATCCTCTTGTCTAGTACTCACCAAATCAGCCCTATAGGAACAGTGTGAGCGTTTTGTCTGATGCTATTTGTCCGAGGACCATAGGACTGTCCGATGCTAACAGAGAAGAGTGTAACGACTAGTTTCCAAACGATTGGATTTATCCGACGCTAGGCACCGTTTTGTCCCATGCTCTACAGAAAGCTGCAGAATCGCCTCCAACTATTTGCAATGGGGGCTATAAATATGAGTTGCAATCGGCCAAATAAAGTGTGAGCACTACTACACTAATTTTAATGGAGGCGGATGTTTTTGACTAACAGAGGTAGGCAACGCAACCGCCACCGTCAAAAGGTCACGGTTAATGGTGACCTACGGAGACGGTTGCTTTGCCCGCCTCGGTTAATAGACTAACGGAGGAGGCGCGTTAATCCCATTAGCCGAGGCGGGCGTCTTAATATGCCCGTCTCCGTTAATGTTCCCCAGAAAACCTAAAAAATCAAAAAAACTTGCGACTTTGGAGAGTTGAACCCATGACCTGCCACTCACCACCACCACGTCTCTACCACTGCACCGCACACTTATTCATCTCTATATATAATATGCTATCTTTTTATATCAATATTTCGTAATCTTATATTAGATATTTTGGCTACTAAATGAACTCAAATGAAAAAAAAAATCTAACTACAAAGTTTTAAATCTTGTCAAGTACTACAACTTTGGTATAGGATGTAACTCCATTAGAGATAGTTTGAAAAATTCAAAAAATTGAGTCTCAAAACATTTGAATTTCAAACACATAATTGGAACTCTAGATGACTTTAAATCAAAACTTGTCAATATAAAAAATGTAGATCAGGTCGGCCACTTGAACTTTTGTATTAACTATGTGAACATTGGAGATCATTTTGAAACTCTAAATTTAAAATTTCAAAATCTATAACCTTCGAACGCATATTTTGGACTCTAAACATCTTTAAATTAAAAACTTTTCAACTTCAAAGTTATACATTCTATTGCGAACTATAACTTTTGTATAGACCATGTCAATATCCGAGATCATTTGATAATTTTAAATTTTAAATTTCAAAATCTGTGCACTTACAACAATATTTTGGGACCCTAAATAGTTTCAATTCAAAAACTTTTCAACTACAAAGTTATACATCTCGTCGTGAGCTACAATTTTGATATAAAGTTTGTCTTCATCCAAGTTCATATGAAAAAGTTATGAATTATTTTTTTGTTGCAATCATTAACCCGAGGCGGACATCTTAAGACGCCGCCTCCATAAATCGATTTACTTACGGAGGCGGACGCTTATAACAACCGCCTCAAAAAATAACCGATTAACCTAGGCGGTTGGCTTACGGTGCCCGCCTCGGTTAATCTATTAACGGAGGCGGTTGTCGTGAGGCAACCGCCTCGGTTAATCATGGATTAACCGAGGTGGACGCGTTATGTGGCCCGCCTCCTTAATGATTAGCCGAGGCGGTCGCTCGGCCGGCGGCCCTGCCATCAAATAACCGAGGCGGGCAACAAGCCCGTCCGCCTTAGAGAGCCAAAGGCAAACGCTGCATAAAAGTTTTTGTGTAGTAGTGGAGGGAGCAAGGGAAAGGTAGTAGGGTGTTGTTACACCATATTGGTGCTCTCCACAAGCATAGTGCTTAGTGATACATATGGTGATTAGCGTAGGTGCTTTGTGAAGTGCTTAGGTTAGTTAGACCACGCTCATATGCACTTACTCTAGGTTTAGGCCCAGTGTTTAGTGAGGTTTGCATACCTCTTACCACTCGATGCTTGCGTGGACCATTGTTGTACTCAGCGGGGCTTGTAGTCTTGCGAGACCACACCAACCGCGGTTGTGGTGTGGCCGCCACCATGTACCAAGGGAACAAGGCCCGCAACATTTCGGTCGAAAGCTTGATAGTGAAGACGGTGGGGGCGATCCGAGAGAGGCTTGTCGGAAGGCACATCGGAGACCCACTTGAGCGTGGGGAAGCCCCGAGGCTATCCACGGAGTTACCAAATTGGGAGCTTGAGCGCTTCTCGATACCTCGGTAAAAATACCGGAGTCGTCGACGGGAGTTTGCATCTATACCTCATCTTTAGCTTCCGCATTTACATTGCAATCTTGGTTGTGTGCTTTACCTTTCCTAGCTTAGTTTATAGGCTAGTTGATAGAATTAGAATCTAGGTTGCATAAATCTTTTGCGGTAGAGATAGCAACACACCTAGCAAAACCGTAGTTGCACATTTAGATAGTTTATTTATTGCAAAGGTTTTTCTTGGAAATAGTGTTTTAAGTTGCCTAATTCACCCTCCTTTTAGACATCGTGGTCCCTTCAGAGCTATAAAACTCTTGTAGTGGGTCTCTCCCACATACGTCTCTCTTGAGTCTTATTACAAGTACGATTTAAATTTCCATATAATAATCTCCACTTTGACTCTAATCCTTTGAAATAATTGTGTTTCTCCGAGACTTTACTCCAAGTTAGCTCCTTTTTTTTATTTATACTCCCATTGTGGGAGTGTCCCCATCATAGGGGCTTATTCGGTTTTCCATCCGAGGATAAATTGAACTCCATTATGCATCTCCAATGTAACCGTCCCCATTTTGGTGACTGCATACTACTCATTGCAATGCACTAAGTTTGAACAGTTCCGTTAGCTAGATGTAGAGATCTTTCATCAAACGTCTCCTTCCTCAAACATCTCCCATCTTCGTTATACCACCTTATGTATGGGCACATGCTCATTTATCAATTGGGTACGTTTATTTTAAAATACTCCAAATTTTGCTATGTTAAACTAAAATGAGCCCGTATTTTTTTATGGAACATAGAGTATATGGTTATACTTATTTTATATAACACTATAATGGTTATGATAATAAAATAAAAAATGGGTTCCTTTAAATTTTTTTCATGCAGTAAGATTTGGAGTATATTGAAGATGGGTGGAAAAAAATATACACACACATATGAATAGGTCCAAACAAAGCAACCCATGGTAAGCAGAGCCTAAAACAAATGAGCGTCAGACAGAAAACGGCGCGGAGGCTTGCGTGGCTAGAAGCGGAGGTCGTACACAGGGACAGTACTAACTATACACACGTATAATTTAGTCGCTGCTTAAATATTGGAGTGCTTAGCTCACCATATATACCTTCGCTCCAAAGTCCAAACAAAGCAAGCCCATGGTAAACACTAAGCAGAGTCTAAAACACATGGATTTCTGCGAGCTATAGGAAGACCCATACACCAGCCTTAGTTTCATCCTGCTTCCCAGTCCTCTTTGCAAAGAAGTAGGAACAGCTCGCATTCCATGGGGTACACATGGATTGTCGCAGGGGCTGGCTGGGGTGTTACTGTGATCGGTTGGCTGCTGTCACCCCTCATCAGCCAGCTCGTCAACAAGTTCTTTCCAAGCCCCGCTGATGACACGTCAAGAAAGCTCCGGGATCTGGAGGTCCACACTATCCCAGATCTGAAGCTGACCCTGAGAAATGCCGAGGAGCAGAGGATGCTGCGAGCTGCTCAAGAGAAGGGATCTGAGTCTGACCTGATGACACTCGAGCAACTGACGAAAGATCTCAAGTCTGCCCTCTACGAAGCCGAGGATATCCTTGATCTTATAGAGTATCATCGTATCGAGAGGAAAGTGAGCGGCGACGACGACGCTCAAGTTCGTGGCAGCAGCTGCCTGCTGGGTGCCGCACCTGCACGTCCACAAGACACAACCCATGCTCTGGTACTGCAATGCGCGGTCAGATGGTACCGGCAGCTGCGGCAATTCGGAGGCGCCACCCTGCCAATCTCCGGCGCGACAACCTATGTTTCCGGGGTTCACAGTCTCCGTGGCTGGTGCTGGTTCAGGCACCTCGTCCGAAGCTGCTTTCGATCAGCACACACCTGGTCCACTAAAGCAATTGTAGCTGCCCACTTCTACCGGAACTGGTCGTATGAAGCTATTGGCATCAAAACTAATCAGGTACCATCTGATTCCGTGTTGTCATTTCAATTTGTTCCTCAAAATAATTTTGTTGTTCTTTCTCGGGAGATGCCTAGCTATTGTCTTTAGCATTGACGTTCGTGCCCTAATCAACTGGAGTATGGATGTTGGAACATTACTATGTTCGTTCACAAGATAGGAAAAAGAAAAAGAAACCTTTGGACTAGTTGTTACAATATTTTACTTGCCATACTTTTATGCTGTAGAAGACACTACTACTCGTATGATTTATAGGGAGTAAAGTACGATTCACCACCTGAAGTAGTCACAGAAAGGCCCCCTCAAACTACAATATCGGACAACATACACCGTTACTTTTAAAACCTGGCCCACTTGACCATTTCAAATGGTTTCATGGGTGGTTTTGCTGACGTTGCAGTGGGGCCCACCTGTCATTTGGTCTTTCTTTCTCTTATATATATAAAAAGCATAACTTTTTCATTTTAGTGGCTCAAATATTCATTTGAAGTCACTAGATTTTAAAATTCAGATTTTTGAATTTTTCAAATGACCTCGGCTATTGATATAGTCTATAGCAAAGTTGTAGTTCTCATTAAGATCTACAACTTTGTAGTTGACAACTTATTTATCTAAAATGGTTTAGCCCCAAATATTTGTTTTAAGCTCTCTAATTTGAAATTCAAATTTTTTTGGAATTTTCAAACGACCTCTATTGTTGGCGTAATCTACACCAAAGTTTGTATCTTTCAATATGTTCTACAACTTTGTAATTGATAATATTTTTTTGGGGTTGGTTAGAGGCCCAAATGTTAGTTTAAAATTCTTATATTTGAAATTCAATTTCTTTGCTTTTTTAAAAATAAAAACAATTTGGGCCTCTAAACAACATCAAATAAATAAGTTGTCAACTACAAAGTTGTAAAACATGTTGAGATCTATAACTTTGGTGTAGACTATATCAACATCAAAGGTCATTTGAAAATCTCAAAAAATTGAATTTCAAAAATTAGAGAACTTAAAATGAATAGGGGCTCTAAATAATTTCAGAAAAAATTGTCAACTATAAAGTTATAGATCTTACTAAGAACTACAACTTTTCTATAGACTATATCAACATCCGAGGTCATTTGAAAATTCTAAAATTTGAATTTCAAAATCTGGTAGCTTAAAATGCATATTTGAGCCCCTAAAATTTATTAAATAGAAAAGTTATCAACTACAACGATGTAGATCTTGTTGATCTCTACAGGTTTGATATAAAGTTTATATTCATATTACTTCATATGGAAAAGTTATGATTTTATATCTGAGAGTTTATGGCGGATTCGTGAATCGATCCCTATTGATCTAACGGGTCAGATCAGGTCCTATACCTTCTATAGGAGCCCATGCAGTAAAAGTGGTTGGATCCTAACCTAGGGCTTCTTGCCTTGGGCTTCGGTCTCCTTCGTCTTGGTGCCGTCGGGCCCTTCTTTGTCATGTAGGAGGCGGCATACAATGTTGCAACCACTCCCTGACGTCTCTACTGTAGTCTGGTGCTTGACTATCAGGAGTTGTCTGCTACTTCAGAGCCTTCCCCGGTTGAGCCTTCTCCCTGCCCTGAGGAGCTAAGAACGAGCCTGGGAGCCCCCGACTCTGCAAGCGTGGGGAAGTCATTTGTCTTGATGTGTCATGCCCTGGGCTTGACCCTATCGGGGGAGGGGCTGAAAGTACCTTGCGGTTGTGGAACGGGATGGCGGTATAGTGCTTGTATGCCTGTCAGGCCCTGGGGGCCTAACAAATTCCGGAGGTAGATTCTGGTCTTGGCTAGGGGAGCCTATTGGACCCGAGCCATGGCTGGGGCGGACACATGGGCTGAGGCTAGGCCAGGGCTCCCCTTCGATCAGGAATCCTCGCATTCTGGCCAAGCCCCTGAGCCCCGAGCGAAGGTGGCTCTTACCTTCTCAGGCTTGCCCTTCTGATATCGAGGGTCTCCTCGGGGGAGGGCCACTTTCAGGCTACCGAGAGCTATCCCTTTTTTGCCAGAGGGTACGCGTGAGCACACCCGATGGGTATAGCCCCCTAGCCCCCGGCCGATTCGAAGAGTCAGCCAGGGGCGGGGGGTTACTCGGACTGTCGTGTCCTCCAATAGGGGACTTAGCATACCTCTATGTTAGACTCTTGTCAATGCCCTAGAAAAGCTAGGGTCAACTAGGTATCAATTGCAGCCTAGTGAATTCCTTGATGTTATCTATAAGCCCTCTGTCTGACCAGAGGTCAATAAAATGGAAGCCCATGAAGAGCGATAGGAACACATGCTAGGATGAGCCACAAGTCAAGTAATGGCGGCCTGGACTAGGCCCAACCATTGGTTGATTACCTATTGTGTGTCATCCTCCCAGTAGATGTAATAGTGGCAAGATGGCAGTCTAGAAGAGAAAAGTCTTGTATCATGATTGACGATTAGCTCCATAAGTGAAGCATATCAAAGATCCTTCAATAGTGCATAACAAGAGAGGAAGGCAACGCACTCTACTACTCGACATCCATGCTAGAGTTTGTGGATACCCTGAGGCATTGTACATGCTTGGTGAAAAATCCTTTCGACAAGGATTCTACTAGCAAGTGGCAGTCGCTATCACCAAGCAGATCATTCGCGCTTGCGTTGGGTGTCAGTTCTGTAAGAAAAATGGCACCTAGCATGGGACATCAGTGATTTTTGTGGTTGATTGACAACATGTTCGAATGGACTAATGATGCTTGCTTGTATATAGGGTTTTAGTCTATTTGTATGCGAGGATGAATTGGGCTTAGGCAATATTGACACTAGAAGTAGCAGATGGATATACCGCAAGCATACGGTAGTCAATGTAGCCTTCACCGGGAGTATTCCAGGTATCATATTTCCATAGGGAACGCGAAGTGAACTAATTGAGGATCAAGAATGTCCTATGATGATAAAAAGGAGTCTATAGAACTTGGGTAGAGAGGATCTCGATAGCAATGATATCTGGTCAAGGTATGATAGGTATAATGGGGTTTACCACCCCCTCATTTTATAGGAGGCGATAGGCGAGACAATAGGGGATGAAACCCCTATCCAAAGTGGCTACCTTGTTACTGGAGTCCTATGTTTTAAGAACTTGCCTACAACACGTGGTGGACTGCAAAGGCTAGACAGGGCTGTCACCACCTGCTAGCTACCATAAACAATCCGTGGGAGAAGCAGTCTACACAGGCAAGATATAGTCTAGACACCACGTGTACACTATACTTACTACTCTAACCATGCGCCACTAAGTTCCCTTAGAAAGGTTAGAGAACTCTATTGAAGTAAAGCGGTGTACAGGTAAAGCGAGTATATAATTATTATAATAGAACTAGAATATCAAATACTATAAAAGATCTCAGATGAGTCACTTACAAGAAGATCCATCCACCAAGGTACAGCTTGGAGAAGACACCAGACAGGCCTAGCTCTTCTCCACACTCCCCTCACTCTCTCCCTAATCTCATAGCACTACAGTAGAGCTTCGCTAAAAGCTATTAGAGAGTGGTTTACTCTAATGTGTCATGAATGAGAGTGAAGTCTAGGGGGTATTTATAACTGGAGTGAGGGGTAATGCCACATCAGCGATCCAGGTGACATCCCCTCCTTGCCCTTGGATTCAACCGACCTTGAACTGACCTTTGATCAATGGTTCAGATCAAGGAGGATACATGGAGGCATGCATAGAGGCGGTGGGTGCAATTTTAGGTCGGTTGGCTCCCTAGTGAGGTCACCCGACCTCTCAATGACAAGTAGGCCCTCCTCTTTCTTCTAGAAGCATGTCCCACATGTCATAGAGTGTGTATGATGCTTGTTCTGCACTTATCATATCGGTTTGCTTCTCATGTGGGCCCATGGATCCATGTGCTCTCATCTCCAACTGTTGAGAGAAACCACACTTGTGATCCATGGATGGAGATTGACTTTCGGGACCTTGACATGGATCATGGAAGGTTGCAGTGGCTGATAAGCTCCATGGGGAGGTCTCCTGACCTCCATATGGGGCCAAATTAGCCCATCTTCTATGGGTGGCTTCCAGAAGCATTGCTCATCATGATGGTGGAGTTGGTTTGTCCATTTGCCATACTTGGGGGGTTGAGAGACGTGTCAAGTTGGTCCCCAAGCTTGTTTTTTTGTCCATTTTGTACCTACATTCAAATAGAGGACATGTACATGTGGAACCAATTTATTTGAACCAAAATCATTCATGGTTGGCTTATGTCCTGTCGTATGTCATAGATTTATATGACATTTTTGACCAACCAGAATGCTGAAGAAATCATCGTCAACAAGATCCCCCACACTTAAGTCTTTGCTCATCCTCGAGTAAAGGATTGAGAGAAAAGGAGATAATGATCATGACATTGTCAAGATATACAACAAACATAAGTTTTATTCAAGACATACTGGGTTATGTGGCACTGTCTAGCATATATCCTTCAGATGTTGAGAAATGGAATAGTTTTCAAAGCAAAATCATCTTCCCTTTTTGACTTCTTGGTACTTAGTTTTTGATAAAGTTTTCAAAAGAAAGCACATAGTTCAATCTTACTCCTCAAATAGTACTCTTAGATCACTCAAAGGTGTATAAGTCCTTACCAAGGCATAACATGAAGTTGCCTTCTTTTGTTTCATCCTACATATATTAGGCTTATGTGGGGCTTAGGTAGGGATAAACATGATAGCATACTTGCATTGCATATATTGTAAAGTCAAAACAAGGATCCAAGGAGAAGAATGTCATAAACCTAGATCAAGATATGCAAGTGTGTGGAAAATGATGATGGAACTTTTTTTTGTACTCCTTAGACAAGCATGATCTCTCTTTAACTATGATTAGTTTGAGATATGGCTATCTTTTTTTTCTTTTTTTGACATCAGCTTTTCATTTTTGCTCACTCTTTTTTAATACCTTTCCATAGCCATATCTCTTTTGCGAGAATTTCAGAGAGAGATCATACTAAACTTAGAGTATTTATTTGGTGGAAAA